TGTAGACCAAGGAAGTCATGGCCTAGCAGCAGGTCAGCACATAGATTGGGTAATACCAATAGTTTGATCTTTTTGTAAACGGTGCCCCTGTAATCGATGGATGCGTAGCAGTAGCCTCTAGTTGAGCACGTCAGAGAGGTAGATGCCATGGTAATCACAGAATCGTTAGCATATATCTTCCAGCCATGTTTGCCAACCAACAAAGGAAATATATAACTGCTCGAACTTCCTGTGTCTATGAGAGCCTGAAGCGACATCCCGTTCACCTTTATACTGGTCACCGTGCGAGACAAGCAGTTCGGAGCCGCAGCAATCAACAGGGAAGATAAGACAGAATCCGTCGTGCAATCTGAGTGATTCTTTACAGATTTGGATCGACAAACACGCTGAAAATGATCTGTTTTGCTACATGATTTACAAACTGCTTCTCTTGCGGGGCACTTTGACCGTGGATGTCTGGAACGACCACAAAAGTAACATATCTGAGAACTGATTGACGAGAGATAGGGTGTAGAATCAGGGGAGTTTGAGTGTGAAGGGGTAAATGTAGATGTCCGTAAAGGTGCTGCAGCCGCGGAAAATGATATCGCCTGGTTATGTGAGTATGACTGAGCTTGTTTGTGGGCCAATTCTAATGACCTAGCCAATTCATGTACTTCATCGAGAGTGAGTTCGTTTTGAGCTAGAAGTCGTTCTCTGATGGTAGTAGACTGAAGTCCGTTGATTAGAGCATCGCGTACACTTTCGTTTTGATGGTCAATGGCGGACACCGCCTTGAAATCACAATTTTTGGCCAAGGATTTAAGCCTCTGAACAAACTGATCAACATCTTGACTGGTGTCTTGTTTGCAAGTTTGTAGAAGATGGCGAAACGATAGGTGAAACATATGGCTCAATAATTCACTCGCAAAAGCCGTCGACTGGAAAGATGGGCCGAACATTTCGAAGAACAGTTCATCTGGCCTCTTGCAATACAGCCTGTGGAGGGGATGTACATGGGTGAATGGAATGTAAACCTTGATCACCCTTCGGAAGAAGAAATAAGGTACAAAGTAGCTCTACTAAAACGTGAGAAGACATCAGGACCGGACGGTCTGTATCCAGCTCTCTTCAAAGAAGGCGAAAAATCCCTGGTGACGCATCTGACAAAGCTTGTTGGTGCTCTTTGGAACGAAGAGAAAGTGCCTGCAGAATGGGATATGTCGTCAGTCATTGCTATCTTCAAAAAGGGTACGCGTACGATATGTGAAAACTACTATAGCGTCAGTCTGATAGCTGTGGCATTAAAGGTGCTCTCTGGTCTTATCCTTCTAAGGTCGACTGAAAACGGACAGACAGATCGACAAAAACCAAGCTGAGTTCTGTCCCGTAAGAGGATGCATCGATCACATCTTCACCCTCCGACAGATTCTGGACAGCGACACTTCTTCCACCCACCTACAGTGGTTATGTTCCTTGACTTGGCGAGATGGCTCCAGTGGTTAGAGCGTGAATTTACTGACCGGAAGGTCCGTGGTTCGAACCCGACCTCTGCCTCTCGACTTCCCCTGTCTAGGCTTGGGCAACCTGACAGTATCCCAGCATTCGTGCTCCCTTCGGGTGGTATGGCAGCTAGGCACTGAAAAGACGCTACAGTTAAACGATTTTTTTTGACTTGAAAGCTGCTCTTAGTTATGGGCAAAAGTGCCCACATATATTCCTGACCCTCTTTAAGGCGCTGTACGCGGCCGTGTGAAGGCCTACGGGGAGCTCTCACCTGAGTTCACCAGATCAAGTGTCGTCAGACACCTTTCCTCTTCAACTTCGTCATTGATACAATTACGGAAGACTCACTATCATCTTCGATTGCCTGTGGGGTGGAAGTTCTCCGTGGGTCTCCGCTCACAGATATCGAGTACGCAGACGAGATGGTTCTTGGATCCGATACCGTGTTAGTGAAAACTATTAAATATTCTAAATAATTCTTCCCTACGGTTTGGCATGCGTTTCACATCTGCAACGTGTAAAGTGCTACTTCAGGACTAGGTAGGGTCGAACCCTAGCTTCGTGCTTACGGATGAGCCACTTAAAGTAGTATGCAAGTTCGTCCAACTGGGCAGCTGTGTCAGTCCCGGTGGCCTTGCGAAAGATGATATTTCCATCCGGATCGGTAAGGCCAGAGCGGTTTTTGTGAACCTGCGTCACCTGTGGCGTAGGCGTGATATCAGCTTCTCTATCAAGGGTCGACTTTACAATGCTGCTTTGCGATCCATATGGGTCCGAAACCTGGCAGCTGCGTGCCGAGGACGCTAAAAGACTCATAGTCTTCGGCCATTGATGGCTTCGGAGCATCGTTCGAGTCTGGTGGGAATACCGGATCAGCAATGCTAAAGCAAATCGAATGGTATTCAGAAGAAGTGACTCGCCTATGGTAGATGATCTTGTCACACTCCATAGGTTGTGTTGGTTTGGTCACGTTCTGTATGGCGTTCGATCGCTTTCCTCGAAGGGTGGAGACCAGCCAGGGGTGGTCAAACAATGACTTGGAAGCCAAATGTGAAAGTCATTACCAGCAAACTCAGCTGCACTGGTCATTATGGTCTTCCTGGATGGGGACCTCGAGACGGGTCACACCAATGGTTAGAGACACTGTTTGATATGGACCAGTCGCTTCCTCAGTTGCGCTGGTGCATCCAATCCTCCCTCCAGACCTGCATTTACGCATCAATCCATCAGCTCCCGCCTCCAATGCACACCTACCTACCCCACATCCCCAAACCATCTTTGGACAAAACTCTGACAGGTAGAACCACTGTATGACAAGTGTGACGTTCTTAGCTGATAATGATGATGATCCTTGAAGTCACTTGGTCTCACTAGATTTTCAGTGGCCCGTATTTGGGGTACATATCCGGAAAGAATCGAGGGCCCGTCTTAGTTACACTGTGCAAGGATATGGCCTGAGTTTCGTGGAAGACGATACGATTTTCCAAGTTTCCGTTGCAGACGCACCCCGACACGGTGTATGACTTCCGAATCCTCCATCCTGATGCCACTGAGTTCGTGTGACGTTTAGAATGGCGTTCTAGAACGAGTTAGAAAAGAGTCCGAGTCATCGAGAATAAACAACGCTTTACCTGACTAAGGACAAGCGTAGATGAGCTTAATAGTGCACACAAAGATTCAGTACGAGTATATAGGGTGATTACAATAATAAGCAGAACACAATCATGACAGTTCGTCGGTATTTCGAGTATGTTTGCAAATATTAAATATGCCCTGGATGTTGACCATCTTGCTGAGGTTCTCCGTCCATTTCATGTTGCATTCGGGAACAAGCTTGTCCATACAACCATTTCCTATCAGCATAAATTGAGAATTACTGGCAGGTCACTAAGAAGAAACAGTATATGGAATAATTTATCCAATCTCCATTCAAGGAGCCGTCAAACTTCGATATCGGAGCCTTACAGCATCAACAGCAAGTTGTCTAGTCAAGCACATTATTCGTTTGTGAATTGCCTCAAAAATAGAAACGCTCTAGGAGTGAATCGTACTTCTTGGAGACGTTTCCTTCCCCGACTATTATTCGTTTGTGAATTGCCTCAAAAATAGAAACGCTCTAGGAGTGAATCGTACTTCTTGGAGACGTTTCCTTTTCTTCACCGACTCCAGCTTACCTTATACCAGCCACACTTCCGTTTTTTGCCAGTAGCTGTAACTATATAACAGGGAGTGCTGGTAAAATGGATCGCTCACGTCCAGTCAGTGATTCCTAGGATTGTCCAAACAAGAGCCCTCATGAGAGTGACCACACAATATTGATTTACACCAGTCGACGAAGCTGCACTCTGCATGTTCCATTCAGTCCGGACGAAGTGCATGTTATGTTGGATCTTGGAAACAAATGTATTCAGTGGGATTTCACCTCTGAAACCCGGGGAGCAGCGTCCGTCAAACCCTGCATTTTGATATCCATTACCATCGGTTTGTCTTAGATGAGTTAAACATATTTCGAGTAGTTGAGTAAAGGATTATCAACGGTAGATTTGCTGTCAATGACGAAGATGAGTATTATAACTGGTTGCCATCTATATCTAGTTCGATTAGTCCTATTGCCTGACTAGCTTCTTGTCCTACCTACCGCCCATCAGGGTTTCTTCACTTTTGAGCACACTTACGTTTACTTGCTCGCTTATTCCATCACCTTTTTTTCGCAGCCTACAATTCAGTACAATGTCTCCGAGTTGTCTGGAGCGTTGGACAACCTGGCCTATTCTTTAGTTCGCCGTTGATGTTAAGGGATTTAATCCCAGTACCCGCATGTCTTTCAACTGGCACGCCTATCTTTCCGAAACTGGAGCTGAGGTTTCCCCTCCCAGTCTCTTTGATCACGTGTGTCGTAGCTTGGAACCCATTATCCACAAAGGTGAGGTGTTGGAGGCCGTTTCGGTTGAGTCATGGAACGAACACGACCCAACCACTTTCGGATTTTGGCCCGCTGAAGTTGCATCAATCTCAGGTCACATGGTTTTGTTCAAATGGTGCGGCTTGGAGGAATGCGTCCCAACTGATCAAAGATGGCCAACCAGTTCAGGATTTTGGTTTGACACGAAAGGAACCAACTGGCACCTTGTGCGTCCTGTTGGAACTACGCAGCTAAAGGGACAGAATATGAAAGAACCGACCCATATTTGTTCTAAACCGGATACCCACCGGATCCCTAACGCCGCATTGCTGGAAAGTTTGAAGAAGCGTGCTATATCCCACATCTTCTTTGAACAAAGGATCCTGTACATGTACGAGGCGATTAGGGTCGGTGGGTATTTTGAATGTGAACATCCGAGTAATCCCTGTTTTGTGTGGCCTGTTAAGGTAAGTATATGTTAATGTCGTGGTCGAAACTTACCCTTTTCTAGGTTCTTCGTACTGTTGGTGGACGCTTACACCTAGCTTGGTTCGGGTCGGAAAAAAAGAAATCTACCTGTGGGCCGTGTTTGTCACAGAATGCAAATTTTACTCTTTTCTACCTTCATCGGCGCATTCATCCATTAGGATGGGGTAAATACTATGGGCTTGCTTACTGTCCGCCGCCTGGATTGACACCAGATCGGACCATCTCCAATGTGGACGCATTTATTCGTGGAACTCCGCCAGCTTTCATGCAGTTACCTGGCGAGGAGGTATTTGACGTCCGGAAAATGCGAATCGGACATCCACTATATCAGCCCGACCCACCCTTGCACGAGTTCAAGGTCGGTTGGAAAGTTGAGGCTGTAAACCCTCAGAAGCCATACGCGGTCCAACCTGCCACCGTCGTCCAGGTAATTTGATCTTATTATTGTGTTACTTGTTTGTGGTGAGTAGTCAAACATTATGTTCTTTGTCGCTCACATGGGAAGAGCATCTGGCGGTCCTAAGGCGTTCTTCAATGAGGGTGGAAACGACAGCGTTTCAAGCCCATACTCATACAATATGGGCTGTTTTCCCCACTTTGCTTGTTTTATACTGGTTTATGTTGGCTCCGTGTTCCCGTCACACCCGTTCGATGGTTGCACGTGCTTATATGAACCAACCGTTCAGCCTCAAACGTCCAAGTACCAGCTGGTGCTTTAAGGATACCTACCCTTTATGTCACTTGCCACTGGACTCCTGAACCAATCATTAGCATCGGACTACAGATTCTCGTTGATCCGATCTTTTGGTTGGGTTTCTATGGTAACATCTTACCTCGTGACTTGAGTCAACAAATCCGGTGACCTCTCACAAGTATCTTACCACCAGCGGACCAATGCATTGTCGTCAACCATCGACTCGTGTATTCACCCCGTTTCATTCTGAGCTTTTTCAACCATATAACTAGTTCCCTAAAATTCGTAAGTGCGGAGGCTCTGGTCTCCCAAATTTTCACAATTTCGAATTGATATCGGAATTCGGATAGCTCAGGGTGTATAAACAGCTGCTGTTCTGTTGCTCAAGCTGGATGATTTGGTTTCAAACGTTCCATCGCAAATGGAGGTGACATCAGTGTGCATCAAGTCAACCATCCGTCGTAGTTCTGCCGTGTGTTAGTATTTAGGCATTGGTTGACGCTGTACTTACGCTCATATAGATCTTGTTGACCAGGGTGAGTGACCCGCAGTTATTGGTTGTTTGTATGATTGGCTCCTTCCCTGATTGGTCGGTATCTGAGTTTGACCTTTTCAACTCGTGTCAGGTCAATTTTGAACGGTTGGTTGCGATTCTTGGTGTCTGGTCTGTTCGTTTGCCAGTCAGTTCTATTAGCATTGCCCGATTAAATTGGCAATCGTTTGCTTGTAATGGTGCGCAGTGAAGCTTTGGTGTTGAACACTGATGTCATGCTGTCGTTGATGATGATGATGATGTAATGGTGCGCAGATAGGGCCGCTTTGGTTGGTCTCAAGTAACATGCTTTTGGGAAAGGAACGAGACGTTTGCGACTAAATTGGCCACCTTGCCAGTGTAAGTTACTGTTCGCTCCTTGTTTACACAAATGATGACACCGTTTCAGAGGAGTGGCAGCTGGTACTCGGACCCAAAGATAAGCTTTATGTATCTAGGTAAATTTTTAACCCGTCCTGTTCGTAGTGTCTGCCAAATAATTCTGCCAATCAGGTGCAAAACACGCGCGTCAAAGCTTGCGGATCACCCTAGGGCTTTCAGCATCCAGTCAAAAAGCTGGTGCATAGTTTATATTTGTAATGTACTACTCATAAGGTTGCTGAAAACCCGTCGATAGCCCACTACCGGTTTCGCTCTTTCTGGGGCTCATCAGGTAGGCGCAGTCCTTGGTGCGTAGTTATCCGTATAGGTCTTCCAGTGCTCGAAATTTGCTACAGATTTCTTCAATGACAGTGCAAGTAATGCACATTTTGCGTGTTAATGCGGAACTAAAAATTGTGTTTACTTACTTATGTCAGTCGAAATTCTCAACTGTGTTATGGCTCGAAGCGTTCCGTGTAGCATGTGCTAACAGCAAGAAAGAAACATTCACGAGTTTTCCGACAACTTACACTAAATTCTGTGCCCTTATTCAAGTCTAAAACTCTGTCGTTTACTGGTCAGTCACTTCTTTGATGAAGAACACTCATATAAAAGAACTAAATTGCACCTCGTGCTGCATGTCTCTTCTACTGAGAATCTGTGAGTCTGTCGGTACTGAAATATTCAAGCCTAATCGATTAGTTTACCTTAACTCTATCTCACAGTGTGAACAAAAGATTCGGCAAATTTGTCAACTTTCGAAAGAACGAAGTAATGAATTTCCCTCCTAGGTTTTTTACAGTCGGCATGCAGGCGGCAGTGTTTGGTAGCCCATGTATTTTAGTATGCGTTACTCTTCGCAGGCTTGATTGTTTCACATCCCAGTCCGGTTTAACACATGAGTTGTCAGCATGGTCACTGCCAGCACGCACATCTTATTGGCTCTCGCGCTAGTAAAATTATGTGAAAGTTAAGACGTAACACACTACTCATAAGGTTGCGACAGCTCCAAAGTAATGAATTTCCCTCCTAGGTTTTTTACAGTCGGCATGCAGGCGGCAGTGTTTGGTAGCCCATGTATTTTAGTATGCGTTACTCTTCGCAGGCTTGATTGTTTCACATCCCAGTCCGGTTTAACACATGAGTTGTCAGCATGGTCACTGCCAGCACGCACATCTTATTGGCTCTCGCGCTAGTAAAATTATGTGAAAGTTAAGACGTAACACACTACTCATAAGGTTGCTGACAGCTCCAACAGCCCACGACCGGTATCGCCCTTCTTGGAGCTCATCAGGTACTTGCGGTCCCCGAGTTTCCGTCAACCTTCCGTTCTGATTGAACCTAAACTGCACGAAATCAGCGATTTTTTAGACGGGGGACTCATCTGAAACCAAGCTGAATCTCTGGTTTATGATTTTTTAAGCAACGTAATGTGGTGCACCAGGCAGTTCGTGTTTTATTTGGCACCATATTCGAGATGTCTTCGCGCCTACCTAATGGGCGAAACCAGTCATGGGCTGTCAAAAAGTTCTCAGCAACCGTTTGAATAGTGTATTTCGTCTATATAATGCGGCGGAATACTATGCGATCGCTGTTATTCAGAAGTTCTGCTGTACTGCATCGGCGGCCAAGTGACTCTATTAGTTCTGATTTTGTGGTGCATAACGCCAACTCTGCACCACAGTCTACTGTAATCATTCGTCTCTTTTCTATTTCTCTTTGTAGGTATTTAATTCTCGGTACTTTTTGGTCGAATTGGATGACCTCACTGTTGCCGACAGCGGTCTCACATCCTCAAAACCCGTCACTCCGTCTACTCAGTCTGAACGCATTCGGTTTGTATCGTATGCAGGTTCACCGGTAATCATGCCCGTGAACACTAGTCAGCTGCGCGGATTGCATTTAACTCCGCCACCGGGATGGCCATCCAAACGCTCATTCACGTGGACTACCTACCTAACCCTACTGTCCAACCAGCAACAAACCTTTGGCATCAGCGTTGAAAATGGCCTTCTCCGGTCTGCATCCACAACTAACCTACATGTAGCCAATCGCCATCATTTGCAACTGTATAGCGGCCTCGGTCCACACGGTACCGAATTTGTACATAGTCCTTCAACCAGTTTATTGGCCAATGATTGTCCTGTGTCTTCATCTTCACATGTGCTCTTTTGTCCATCCGAAGCAGTGTTCAAGGGTGTGCACATATCTGAAATGTTCCCAACTTACTCGGATACAGAAAGTGCCCTTCAATCGAAATATGCAAACAGTTCTATTCATGTTTCTGCGGACGCATGTGACGGAGCTCTGAACCCCATTAAACGAGAAATGGGCAATCACTCGAAAGAGCGTCATAGCTCACGATTTCTTCTTGGCATGAAATTGGAAATGGTACTTCCGGAGTTCCTAGCGAGTTTTGTTCCCGAATCACAGTCGGATTCTGCCGGACTGCCTCTATGTACCGCAACCGTGACCCGTGTTGAAGAGTCCAACCTACTTTGGCTTTTACCGGATTTGGATATGGCAAGAAGTCGGAAGCAGCTCCATCCGATTATGGTTGATGCACGTTCAACAGATCTTTATCCTGTAGGCTGGGCTGCATCGGTCGGTCATCTGATTATCGCACCTGCAGGTTATGAGCAGCACTGCGAAGATTCAAAAACTGGGGTTTCTTCTGAAACAGACGTCGTGCACAACGAGACTCCGGCACCGCTGTGGAGCATAGAACTTCGGCCGACACATGATTTGCAATATCAGGCTGTAACTTATGAGTCGGAAGAAATATGTCCCCCCATATACATCAACAGCAAATGTTATCTCGGCCCCTTTCTTTGCAGAGTAAGTGGTCTTTACTTCATGTCTCCAGGTTATGTAGTCACTATTTCCATCACCACTATCTCTTACTTCTCTTTGTGTTTCACGCTATCCGTCTCCTAACGCCAAGCCGTTACGTTTAAGGGTAATAAAATAATAATAATAATAATAATCGTTTAGCTGTAGCGCCCTTTCGATGCCTAGCTGCCATGCCACCTGAAGGAAGCACGAGGGCTGGGATACTGTCAGGTTGTCAAAGCCTAGACAGGGGAAGTCGAGAGGCAGAGCTGGGGTTAGTGAAGTCTGTTGGCGTCGTCAGTGGGATAAGCTACTGTTTCGATGTTCTGCTGAGGTATATATTATCGGAGCAAAAGATCGGGTTTCACTAGAGGCCCACAAAAGATCTGCTTTTGGTTTTGTTATATCCTCTTTGATAATGTATCAGTCAGACACTTTAGTTCACCGGAATGGAGAAGACAAACAACTTCGAGGAAGTTTTACTGCAAACAAGTGAGTCTGTTATGTGGAGTTCAGCTGAACCAGAATATAAAAAGAGCTAACTGTCCAATTGGATGTCAGTGAGAGGCAGAAATGTAGAAACAAGGTTTCAGTACACAAGACAAATCGTTAGTAAAATGGATTTGTTCGTTTGGAGGTAGTCCTCCTAACACCTCCCCACTGAAGTCCTTGATCGTATTCAACAATATGGTTTCCGTTTACGTGCAGCGAAATGTGCATTTTTTCACTTCCATCAAATAACTTGGATTTATTTTTCACGAAGACGGTCGTTATTCAGATGTCAGCACCGACGAATTTAGCAACCTTGCTATCCTTCCTCGGTTTGGTAGGCGGATCTTCCGGTTCATAAGTACCTCCACCGGGGACTTACCATGTGAATCGTTAGCATTTGTAACTCAGCAGAAATGTCTCGATGGCTTCCGGTGTGGTCCCCTCCCCTTTGAGTTTTGGGAGTGCGCGTTTGAAAGTGTCCACAAATCTTTCCACTTGGCCATTTGATTGTGGATGAAACTTTGGTGGTCGCACATGTTGTATGCCGTTTTCTTGACAGAAAGTGAAAAATTCAGCGGAGGTGAATGCACTGCCGTTGTCAGAAACAATCATATTCGGAACTCCAAAGTGGCTAAACACATGTTGTCGTTTTGAAATGGTAGCACAAACGGTAACATGGTTCATGTTAAACACTTCTGGCCATTTGCTATAAACATCTACTAGGATGAGATATTGTTGGCCGTTGATTGTGGCCATGGAGTTTTTGGAACAGGCCGTGAACATAATTCTGTCTTTCGAGGGGGTTTTGCAGACAGTTGGCATCTTGGGCATTTGCATACAAGTTTTTGCACAAGTTTATCCACGCTCATTTTTTGTACCATGACGGTATCACGCTTCAGATTCATCAGGCGCTGGCATTCCTACGTAATATTCTGTAATTTGACGTCTGAGTTCTGCTCAACCTTGCTGAGGATTCTTGCTCTTATGTCTGTGTCTTCAGGAGACGTCAACCCGCACACAAATATAAGACACTTGAACTCATCCTCTGTCATGCTTCAGAGGTTGAAACGTTCGCACTCCTTGTTGACTTTGCCGGCGTATGTAACCCAGTCTTCGGAAGCGTTCTTGCTCAAATTCATACAGTGAACTCGACGGCTGAACAAGGAAGCCTGTTCTCCGAAGATTGACGATAAAACAGCAACGGTTTCATCGAAAGTCAGGTCACTTGGTTTTCGTGGCAAAATATAATTCGTGAAGCGTTCATGTTCGGCCACTCCAATTTTCCTGACCAACTGTCTTGCTCTCCAAGAATCTTCTCTGCTTCCCAGATCCAATCTGAAAAA